TAAACAGCGAAAATACACAGCTGCAGTGAGACAACTAACAGTGACAGGAACAGCGCAACAACGCATATGTGCTTAAGTACATTAACATTTATATATAGTGTAGTCAACAGTAGACGTTGTACTAGCGAAGTATACGTTGAGGCATAAAACATGAAAATTTCTAGTTGTACACATCACCAACACAAACGACAAGCAGCACAAAAGCAACAGCAACAGCAACAGGAAGAGCAAGAGGAGAAAACGCAACGAAACAGCATACTACAACGAAATCAAAAAGTAGAACATAAGCAAGAAAAACGTTGTAACGCCACTGTCGTGATAATTAAGACAGCGCGAAGCACTCAAACAATAACAACAGCAACACATAGCTTACGTAGTTTTCGTAGTCGTAAGTTAACATACCTGTTGTGTCATATGCTGCTGCTGCTGTTAAGCCTGATTGAGCCAACGCATGGTGACTGGCTAATGGACTGTGGCGACTGTCATTGCAAATGGAATTCAGGGAAAAAAACAGCTGATTGCAAGAATCTAAGTCTCTCCTCAGTGCCAGAGAATCTCAACACTGAAGTGCAAGTGTTGGATCTTTCATTTAATCGCATACCATTTCTAGAGGAGAATGCCTTTATGAATGCGCAACTCCTCAACCTACATAAACTGTACATACGTAACAGTTCGCTACAACAGATCGATCCACGCACATTTACGCAACTCGAAATTCTCATCGAATTGGATGTGTCCAATAATCTCTTGCGCAGTCTACAAGCGAATCTCTTCGCTCGGCTGGTTAAAGTGCGTGCATTAGTATTAAATGGCAATCTACTGGAATCCTTAAGCGATGGCATTTTTCAAAATCTGAAATATTTGCATAAGATTGAACTCAAGGATAATCGTTTGACACGTATTAGCACACAAGTATTTATCAACGTGCCACTGTTATCGCAGATTTATCTCAACGGAAATCGATTGAGCTTTTTGCGCAAAGAAAGTTTTGAATCTGTGAAGCGCTTAACTGCACTCTCATTAGACCAGAATCCTTGGAACTGTACATGTGAACTGCAGATTTTTCGTGACTTTGTTTTAAAACGTAATCTCTACACACCACCAACGGCATGTTATTTTCCCGTGCACTTACGTGGCATGTTGTGGGTGGAGGATCAACCGGAAGCGTTTGCCTGTAAACCCAAAATCATATATCCAGCACGCGGTGCTTCCATCAATACGTCAAAAGAAAATGTTACATTGGTTTGCCGAGTGCATGCTTCACCTAACACACACATATCCTGGGATTATAACAAACAAATGTATCGCTCCAATGCAGTGAACAGTGCACAACAACAACGCGTACACATCCAACTGCTACGCGATGAACAGTCCAAAGAGAAGGAGTTCGGACGTGATGTGTTTATTTCACGTTTAACTATTATTGGAGCCGATAAAAACGATGAGGGTATCTACACATGTTTAGCAGAGAACGCTGGTGGCAAAGATGTAGTGCAAATGAATTTGCTGATACAAAAGCCAGGGTCAAAGGACTTGTTATTGCAGGGAAACTTAGTTATTGTGATTTGCTTAATGGCTTTGGGATTGCTTAGTGTGTCGGTGCTGCTCGCATTGATTACTTGTTGCATTTACAAGCGTTTCAAGCATATTAACTCCGCGCATCGACATCATCATCATCATCATTTGGATGTTGCCGATCAATTAACAACTGGCCTCGAACATACCACCACGACTGTAACGGGCGGCACTGATGTTGTGCTTGGAGTGAGTGTTGATGAGACATCAACGGGCAATTTCAAGCACCATTTGCAAAAAACAAATCTGAATGGTGGCACTGGCGGAATGGACAAATACAGTGAAATGATTAAGCATGGTGTTTCTGTGATGGACAATGGTTTTGTTAATGTTGGTGCTGATGGCGTTGAGCACCATAAACTGCTGCTGAACGATGCGAAAACAGGGCATGCGGAAAAGGCGTATTTGGAGCGAAGTACTAAAGGTGAGTTTTTATGTTATTAAATAAAATTACATTTTTACTTTCTTTTTTTATTGTGTGGATAGATGTTGGTTACTTTTCATTTCATCATTGCTCCATTTCATATGGCAATTGTTCCACATAGTCTTTGTTTTTAATTTTGTTGCTTTTATTATTGTGGTTTGTTTTGCTTATTTTCTGGTTTATAACTTGACCATGTGCCTCACAAGCACCACTCCGACCATTTTCATTCTGGAGTGATAAATATGGTAATTAATTCTCGTTGCAAATGGCGAAATAAAAATGATTTTGTTGCTTTTTTCCACTTGGTTATTTGTAACAAGAGTGACATAAAAAAGGAACACAAGCTTAGTCACAATTTATCACCAGCGTAATTATTTCATTAATCACTGATGCTATGCTGGATCCCCAGAAATTAGCAAGAATATTGAGCTTTGTAGAAATTTCTACTGCTCAACAAATATTTGTGTTTCATTCTTGGAAAACTAGAGATTTACATAGGAATAAATTCTTTTGCTTTTCATTTATACATAAAAGAATGTTTTTAAGTTTAATTGTGCCATATCACTTTTAAGCAAATATCTAGATTTTGTTTAGGACTTTTATACATCAAACTTCGTACTCTATTTGGGTTGTAGCATATTCCGTTTGTATAAAATAATACACTTTAAAAAGTTAAATTTATTGTAATTTTTCTATTCTGAGATAGAAAATTTAGAGAATATTTCATTACATTTTAATAAAATTAATTTATTATGGTATTGAAATATTATCCATATACATATATATCAGTTGACAATAAACTGAATAAAAATTTACTGATGACCCTCTGGTAATTATTATATATTATTGGAGCAAATAAGGAGTATTTATCCTTTCCTAATTAAATAGCTAAATGTATCAGTATCAAATGTGGAATGCTCACCTTTTCTTGAGCAAATGACTAAATGGATGAGAAGCCAAAAATAAAGACAGTTTACTCTTTCTTGAGGAAATGGCTAAATTTATCAGAAGCAAATATGGAGTGCTTATCTCTTCTTATTTTATCTGCAGTGAGGTTCAAGAGATGCATTAATCCTTTTTATACTAACTCAGCCAGATCACTTAAGAAACAGTCTCTTAGATATTTATCCCGCTTTGTTTGTAGTGACGGGCAAAAAAATTAAAAGTTATTATTACATTATATTACCTCTTTATTAAACTCTTACACAGTTCACTTACTAAAGTGGGACAACTTTGAAGAATTGATAGATTCTACTTTCTCTCCATCATGGTTATCGTTGCAAAGTCTGCGTGTTAAAATGCGCTAAATTTGAATAATTTATAAATTCTACTTGTGGAAACTCGCCAAACTTAATTTCTATACAGAACGTTTGTTGAGGGGCTTTAACTATGCACTATTGGTGCAATACCATGGTTGACGTACGCACACAAATTAGAAAGTATGCTTTGTTTTTCTTTTATTTAATCTGAACCATAGCAACCTTACGGTCGAGTCTATTATCACCCTTACTGATCCTGAAGTCTAGTTTGTTGGTTTATTTTAGTGAAGGCAGAGCTTCCACTTCTATCCCAGTAGCACAAAAACAAAATTTGTTGCAACAAATTCGGCTTCTAGATCTACTTTAACTTAACATACTATTATCTATTCTTTAATATAAGTCAAAAATTTTGTTGTTTTGTGCATATGTAAATCACAATATTTTTTCCTGCTTTATAATATATGAGGAAATTTAAGTTCATTCAAATTTATTTATTCAAAAAATTTTCTTGCAAATTTTACATACTCCTGTCTTCTCTGCAGTTTATAAAACATTATTAGAAGTAGCATTTTTTTATTTTGTACTATACAAGTGGTCACACTGTAGTTAAATGAAGATAATGAATGTAATAGAGCGAAATTTCATAACAGTTCAACGGAAGCTATTTCACCTTTTTTTAGATGTATTTCATTTGAATCTAAACTTAATTTGTACTAAAATTACTATGAATACATTAGTCATCCTCACTTAAGGAAACTTCAAATCTTTTCTACATTAAAAATTCTTTCAATTGAAGTCGATTAGTTATGCAAGTTTATTCTCTTAGCATACTTTCACGTACCTATATATACTGTTATCTCATTTAGTTAAACTGAGATTCCAGTCGAAGTGAATAATTGAAAATTAGAATAAATAATCTCGACGAAATGTTGATTACCCACATTTCCAGGCGCCGTAAGATATTACAACTACAAAACATTAGAGGCAATTTCGTACAGATTTTGCAAATTTTGCTATCATAAATTCACATGCATATTTCAGAGATTCGCTCGTACACATTTTATTAGAGCCTGCAAGTTACTTCAAGATACACGATAACAATGAAAATATTCTATGTACTGAATATATGGGAGTGCAAAGTATCTCAACTCCCCCACGTTTTGTTTTTTTCTGTAGATAAATCAAAAATTTAATGAGCTATAAAAATAGCAATTTCAACAACAAAAACGAAAGCCATGGAAAGTGCATATCATATAAACAAAGCTGAAGTACAAGAGATATGGGAGTACCAGTCATATACCAGTCGTACGTAAATAGCGAACCTATGGATTTTTGATTTTACATATAGAAGAATTGTTGAATTATTTTTACTACGTGGTTAATATACGAGTATGCGCTAAGGATTGCTAGGTTTTTCTATTTTATATATGAAAAATGAAAATATACAACCGAAGAGCAAGTAAATAAAAATTATTGTAAAGCCAATTTTTGTGCAAATGTACTCAATAAATTATGCAAAAATATGGCAACGCTGACTTTTTAGCCAGAAACAAAGGCAGGCCGCTGTTCTACATTGTATGAGTGTAAAGCATCGGAGATAAAAATTTTATAAGCCAACAAAATGTTATTGCCAAAATGAAGTCAGCCAAAATTAGGCTTTCATGTTTCGATGTAGCAAATTTTGTTTCGCAGAAATAAAAAATATAAAAGCGAATTCAATGCATGCATTTCGAATGAAATTTACAATGAATTTAAAATGCCTTAAATGAAATTCCTTGCTCTCTACAAGTACTTTGAAGTATCAATTATGGGCTAGCAAAAAGTCAATTATTACTTTGGATTAATGATTGTGTAGTACTGAGTGGCAGGATGTGGCAGCCACATTATGGTTGCTATGCAAATATTTAAGTATATAAATAATTTATTATTTATCAGTCGAAAAGAATTTTGGTAATATAAATGATTGTAGAAAATGGCATAAATTTAATTTTCAATGAGAATTTATTATGTGCTTTTGAAGAGCTCTTAAAATATGAGCATTAAATTTAAAGGAATAAAATAATTTTAATATAAAACTCATTTTATCATAATAAATAGTTATTAAGTCTAATTGAAATATTTAGACAAATAATAAAGTAATTTAAGCTCAATAAATTATTTTCATTTGTTATTTTGTAATAAATATATAGTAAGTTAATGAAAAGTTATTATTTATAAATAATTAAAATACTTTTAATAGAGTAAAACTTATTTAATAGCAAGCAACATTTATTGAGACATATTTAGGAGGGGATTTTTTAAAAAGAGTATAAAAGTCTAAATTTTTATCTATTGTTTTGTTAAGTGGTTTTAAAGTAATGAATAAAAAAGTCATAAGAAGAAAATTAATTAAGAGAAAACTATTATATTTAGCATGAAATAGACCTGCGGTAAAGGGAATTCCTGAGATAAGGCATGCTTGACGTAAGATGCGACTTTACTCCAGCTGCGACTTTACTTAGATAGACCCAGTATCAGATACTGATCAGTAAGATCAAAATATTTGTTATTAAAAAAAAAAATTGAAGAAACAGAAAAAGTTAAAAAATTTGTATATTGGATGCTTAAGAAACAGAAAAAATCGTCTAGTATGTGAAATACACCGTTCATATGACACGTTGCAATACCCACTGATGTTTTAGCAAGAAGATGATGGATATCACTTTAATATAAAAATGATAAACCCATTGAAAGGTGGGTATCAACATCATAGTTTTCAATTCAGAATACAAACGTGAGTCTTACTTCTAAGATACTAATTTTACTGTTTTTAAATCAAGTGAGGAAACTACCAAGAAAATTAGTTCGTGTAATTCAAAATGGAAAGAAATTGTTCAAATGCTGCTTCCTGGACAGACATCAAGTGATCGGCACGACATCACTGCACGGGTATTCAAGCACAAAATTCGATCGCTGATGAATCTAAAATTTAATATAACATTCATTGACTGTTACGCGGTACGAAGTTCGCGGGGTCACCTAGTTTGAAATAGAATAATGTGAGATAATTTAATAATAAAGAATTTACTGGACTTACAACAGGTACCAAAAACTTATAACTAAAAACGATGTTACCCCGCTTTACTACTGATTCCAGTGTGGGTCTTTAACCGCAAGACTATCCTTCATTAAATGTGTATTAATTCTTTATATAAAATAACTGAAAACGATTCATCATATATCAACGATTCAGTGGGTCACTTAACAAATATCTACTTCTTTGATTTCTTAATTATTTTTTGATATTAAAGTATATCTTAATATAATGAAAATTCCTGTGTATATTTTATACGTATTGTAAAATTTGCTTAATCGACAATTAAGAAAACTAATGAACCTGTAACTGAAGCAATAAAATTTTAATGACAAGTAATAATGACACCTATTGAATGACTAGAAATATTATTGGTGATTGAATGTTTTATTATTCATGAATAGATTAATTTTTTGATAATTGAAAGTGTTGAGTGCTTTTATGACAAACAAGAGTTTAAATGAATTTAATATTCAAAAAACAATAATTCTCCTCAACTCTAGAGCTTTTATGAGTTAGTATAATATCAAGAATAAGTAATTAATTCAATTGCAGCAAGTAGAAGTAAAAAAGGACTCTATATTTTAATGGGTTCGCCCGACCATATAAGAAACAATGTGTATTGATTAGTTAATTTATGTTTCTTTTTGACAGCAATATTCCTGACAATGCAATGTTCCTGACAGTATAGGCAATCCAAGCTCTAAACTTATTATACGAATAATTTAATCAACAAATACTTCCAAAGATCAATAGAAGTCCAAAATTGCAGTTTGGACGATCAAAAATTCTGTTAATTAAAAATATATTCTTTTAGTTTCAAAATATTTTCACCACGTATATCTTCTCTCTTTAAAAACTATTTATTATTTGCTTAGTCATCAAATCAGAAAAATCTCATTTGTGCAGCGTTTAAATATTATTTTAGTAAGTACAAGTCTATATCCACATTGGATATGCTTTCTTGAAGTAACATTTTATCTAGATTAAACGGAGATCCATTAGCTACCAACACACGTTGTAATATACATTGAGATTTACAAAAACCTCCGAACTAAATAATCGAAAATTTTGCGAATGTTGACAGGCCTACCTTAGTTCTATAAAATGTCAAACCATCATAGAGATTTGTTGAACACATATTTTTTCTGTTGAGTTTTTTGTTTTTAAAGAGATATTTACTCTAATTCAGAGCTTCAGTATAGATTGCCTCATTTGTTTCGATATCGTTTTTTTTCCAAATCACCACTTGATCTAATGTTAGATTCAGGTATGTTATTTGATCACTTCACTTCTGGCATTATTAACGGTTAACACTTTTTGATTTTAATAATCATTGAGTATCATTATCCATTTCTAAAAGTAATTGTCCAAATCATTAATAGGCACTATTGCAGAGAGTTAGAAATTTAAGATACGTCTACTTCAGAATGCTGGATACGTATATTATCAGCGAACAAAGGTTACAAATTGGTTTTCATTTTTGACATGTATGTACATGTATTTCCGATAATATTTATTCTTTTTACAACACATTTATTCTCTTTATTTTATTTTACAAAATAAAAATCCTTCAGTTTTACGGGTTTGAATACTTATTATTAGGTTGTTCCCTTTGTAGAGGAATTTTTTACTTGCTATGGTTAAAGTGGCTTTTTTGTGTATAATTTTACAAATTATAAAACTTAATAAAATTTCATATATTTCCTAAGCGTTGTACCTATGACCAGCCAAATTTCAATAAATTAATCAAATTTTTGTTATTGTATCTTCATTATTATCTAATAATTTTATTTTGTCATAACATATTCGACAAAAAAAAATCAACGTTACTTATTATTAGTTTTTATATATATAAATAAAATTTATATATAAAATTTAGTAAAAAAAAATATTTCAAAAAGTTATGATAAACTGAAGCTCTGTGATATAGTATTTGAGATGATTCGATTGCAGTAAATTGATTACAATCTCTCTGCATCATAAAATCTATTGAATTATTTGTCTAGTAATATCTCAAATATCTGAATTTAATATTTTTCTTTCACTAAAAATTTTGTGCCTTTAAAAAACTTATTTTAAAATACTTATGTTAATAATAATGTTTATCTCTTAGTAATTAGTAATAATCTCAAGATTATAAAAATACAAAAATTATTAAAATTCCATAATTTAATATATTGACGATTAAAATATCTAATTAAATTAAATATTTAAAATTAAAACAATTGCTCAAAACTGTTAAAATTCCCGAAATTAATAATCTTAAAATACTAATAGTACTCGCATTTCATTTCTAATTAAATGAAAATTTTTAAAATTCTTAAAATTTCATAAATTAATAGATTTAACATTAAATTATCCAATTAAATTAAACATTTAAAATTTGAACAATTTCCCAAAATTGTTAAAATTCCAGAAATTAATAATCTTAATATAAAAATATTTATTATTATTAATACTAATACTACTTGCTTATACATTTAATTTATTTTCTAATCAATGTATGCTATTATAACACATTATTTTCACATTATTTCAGAAACACTTCACATAAAATATCCGCATGGATACGTGCAGACCGAAATAATACGAAATACTTTAAGCAGCAGCACTGGGAGCAACAAACTAAGCAATAAAAGGCAAACACAAGATGCAAGTAAAGATTTTGTCGGACGGACTGTTGAATACCAACCGGATCTGCTACCAGCACATAGCACCAAAGTTATTAGTAGTCAAGAAGGACAGCTTTATAGTCCAATAAAGTCAACGACAACAATAAATCTACATGAGAATGAACATCAATTGCAGCAACAACAACATCATCATCAACAACAACAGCAACATCAGCAGCAACAGCAACAGCAACAACAATTACAAGAAACCATTGTGACGACAAGCAACGCGCCAAAAAGTAAATACAATAGCAACGCTCAGGCATACCTGCAATCAAAATATAGCACGATAGCAAATACCAATAAACTGAGTGAAAAGTTAACCAAGCGCGAAATTCCAGGCATACCACTAATGACATCAGCTTCACTAACAGCAGCTGGATATGCAAATGCAACGACAGCAGCGGCGCAAGAAAGCGGTTTCACCACACGTCACAGCAAATCACTGGCGTTGCCCGGACGCACCACTTCCACACCCACCGAAAATAGTTACGAATATAGGCAACCACCACCTCCGCCATATAGTGCAGCACATCGTGCAGCCGGCAGTCTGCTACTACAGCGACACACCAACTCCAACGATGACAAGGAGAATTGCATCACAAAAGATCAAGGCTATCAGGATTGTAAAGCTAATGATGTCGGAAATGTTGGCACAACAACAGCAACAACAGTAACGGCTACGAGACAGGCAATTGTGACCGCATCACCATCTTTGAATTTCCTCACTACAACCGGCTATACACCACGTCGACAATTGCTGTGATAGCAGTGACATGAAGTGGCATCAAACGAAGTGACGGACGATAGTGAGAGTGAGGAGCTGTTGCAACTACTACAATTGGAATATTAGCCTAGTTTGAATAATGCGGCTAATACAAGTATAATTTAGTGCGTGTACTTCAACTGAAGATATTACATTATTGCCAGAATTGATTTCCCAGTAGCAATATAAGTGCGCCACTGGACGAGTAACTGTGAATTACATATCTGTGTGAAGCAATGCATTGAAGTTATGGTAATTTGTTGAGCATAATAAAGCAACTTGTCGATTACTAACGCCATTTAAGTATGTACTATGGTAATAAGTAAAATTGAGGTCAGATATTTTGTAGTACTCCTATATATACATATAGTATATATCTACAATTGAAAAAGTTGTATGCCAAATTGTTTCCGAATGCATGATAAGACATGCTGATGTTGCAATTTCATGCATTTGAACATAATTCATATTTGCAATAAATGCCAATAATAATTTATACTTGTATATAAATATCCTTGAGAAAATGAGCAATTGCAATTTACAGCATACACATATGATATGTTGCTTGTTCTATTTAATAAATAACAAATACTGAAGTTAGATGCATACGTGTAACTTACCTATGTATCTGGGATAACGAATGCATTGAAGTTGAAACTAAAATTAGTTGATTGCGTTGGTAAGTAACCACGTACATGTATAAATGTCATAAGATATAATCTTAAAGAGGTGTAAACTGAATAGTTGAATGTGATCAGAATGTAAGTGTAGCGCATATATTTGTAATATTTCTTAAAGTCTATAGGCAATAAGTTAAAAAAGCAACTAAAAATATTTTGGTGTGTATTTTTAGCTATGCTGTACTTTTAAATATCATATTTATTTATTTTTACTTTATAAAGTTTATATCTTTTTTTTTTTTGTGAACTTCACAGTTGATTTAAGTTCGAGTATTGTTGAAGTGTAATTTAAAAGTGTTTTTAATGCTTAAAAAGATACAATTTCAACTTAAATACCAAAGCATCACGTGGAGAAAAAAATAGTCCTTAGTCCTTCGTAGTTATTGTGTTACACCCCTGGGCTGAATTTGCTTACTGTTAAGTACAAATAATGTACTGAGTTGAAAAAACAGCAGCACAGGATAAAAGTGTCCAAAAAAAAAAGATTCAATTTCATTACTGCCCACTTTAGACTTTAAATTTATGTACGAGTATTTAAAATAGCAGGTCTGCTATAGTATTTTGTGACGCATATTTATGTTGCTTTCGAAAAGTTTAAATAACTACGTAAGTGGGTAAAAGCTACTGTAGACACATTTTGTTGTTGTTGTTTTTTTTTTGTGTAGTTTGTATTTATTTAAATTTCGACTGTCATTCAAGACAGTACAAATATTTATTGCGCCCAACAATAGGACCTCCCTGAGCAGACATAGCATCAGTGCTTAAGGCTATGCGACATACAAAACTCAGCGCAAGTGTGCGAAGCGCCTGTTTATAAATTCTTTCAAAATATATGTACACACAGGCTAAACACACTCTACTCTACTCTGCTCTACTCTACTCTGCTCTACTCTACTCTACTCTTAAAAAAAAGGAACGAAATAACATTATGTCATTTATTGTCCTTAAGTCGAAAGTTTAAAAGTGAATTTTTTATTCAATTGAGTGTAATATTAAAGGAAATTCATTGTGCTCACTTTTTTAACTTTGTCAGCGCATTACTAATTTACTGAGATTCTTTTTGACATTTTGGCACTTTACGAAAGCCAAATAACAAAAAAAAAAAATAATTTTATTGAGTTCGAGAAGTGTTTATATATGTAGAGTCATATAGAGTCATAGATTTGCTCTGGTAACGAAAATCATACACAACTCAAAATAAAAATAATAATGAAACATAGAAACTTTTTAAAATGTTGTTAAAAGATTTCGCTTTACGGGGCGTATGAGTGTTATTGTGTAAACTTTGTTAATTAAAAGTGAATTTATGAAACAAACTGTTTTTAATGTCACTGAATGAAATTGAGAGGCACTTATTTTGTTTTTTTTTATTTTTTTGTTAAATTTATATAACAACAACAATGTTTGTTTTAGAAGTCAATTGATATGAGCAAAAAGTGTCGATGAGGCAGTTTTGTAGTCACAAGTATACATATAAATATACATATAAATATGAGCTATTTATGTTGAATGTAGTAATGAATCCATTCTATTATGGTTAACCTATTTCGAGTTTTAAAGAAGAGCTCTTTGCTTACTTTGAAATTATTTTAAAAATCGTTTTTTGACTAAATTGTTTTTATTGTGCAATATTTTATGTTATGGGCAACGATTAGCGATAACGATAACATACTGACAGAATCTTCTTCTTCTTAGACTGCCTACTCTCTTTGAGTGTTAGCGGTCGCATTTATTGACAATAAGCTCATTTCCACGTAATTTTCATTTTCAATTTTCAATATTACAAGTTTTCTTTAATAATACCGACAGAAAATTATAGTAATTTCAAATAAAGATATATAATAGTATTCGTATAAAAGTACATTGGTGCACAATAGATCAAGTTGATCGCAGTGCATAAAGGCCTAAGCCTAACCCATAAACCTTTACCATATAAGTACATTAAATATGAGTTTTTTAATTCATTTCAGACATTGAGAAATTCCAAAATGACGATTGTTACAATTTTTGTTGTTAGTACTGTTCGGTACAATCATGTCAGACCGACAAATATATTTGCAAATATATTTTGATCGAAACAGGCCCGTAATCAGCTGTCGTAATATATTTCACGAGGTGTTTTCAGATAATTTCTGGAGTTTGAAAAAGACTTTTTATCTCGTTATCTCTTTTTATCTCAACATACAATATTTATATAATGTAGTCTTTCGATTCATATCGTGGAAGACTTCAATGCGTAAGGTCTCTGCTCGTAAGGTGCACGAGCACCTCGTCCACTAAATGCACGAAGACTGGAATAGATCTTTTTGCACAAATCAGATTTATCTGCAATATCTCAATATGAATCTTTTCTGTTTCTGAAGCTAAATTTATCATCCCAAACATTATGTTATGAAACCATAATGGCTATAAAAGAATTACACACCAATGACTTTTGAGATGATTGAGATTATAAAAAACTTATAAATAGGGTTTCAAAATGAAAGAGTTTTTGACGGAATTTTAATGCAACACGTTTTGGAATGACGTAGAATATAAAAGATGGTTGAGAATTTAAAGAAATAACTTAACAATGAGTCTTAAAACAACTTAGGTTAAGAAAGGAATTATATAGCAATGCGTCTTAATGTGGTTGGAGATTTAAAAGACGATTGAATATATAAAAGAATTACTTAGCGATAGGGTTTGAAAGTATTCAGGTTATAAATGAACTATATAGTAATATATATTCAAAGGATTGTGGTTATGAAGGAAATACATGAAGGAAGGAAATTTTGGTACAATTTAAGATATAAAAGATGGTTAAGGATTTAAAGAAATAATACAGCAAAACGATTGATTGGTCACAAAATGATTGAGGTTAAAAAGGAATTAAATAGCAATGCATTTTGACAGGGTTGAAGATAGGTATAAAAGACGCGTAAATTTATAAGAGTTTTATAGCGTTGGGGTTTGAATTGAGTTAGGTTATAAATGACCTCAATAGCATTGAATTTTCAAATAATTGAGGTTATGAACTACATGTTTTGTTAGACTACATGTTTTGTTAGACTACATGTTTTGTTAGATTTAACTAATTAATCAAACATTATGAATTTTAATTAGTTTATGTATTTTATGTAATATTAACATTTGAGTTTTTAATAGACATATATTTTAAAAAAAAGTTTAATAAATTCTAAAATTATTTGAATTCTTATGATTCAAAATTTACAAATATATGCGTTATATCCAAACAAACTGTAACAAATGTATCTAATATATAATTGTATACACTAGAAAAAATTAATCAAACCATTTATAGTTATATATACATATATTGAATTTATTATTAAATTTTATGTATATAGTTTAGTAAATATTTTTCAGAAAATATAATTAATGTTATAAATAATATTTAAACTGAAAAAATAATTTATTAGCTATAAAAAATGAATACTTTGCTTAGTTTAATTTTATTAGCAGGAATTTGTAAATTTAACAAAAGCATAGTTAATAATTTTAGTTCATAAATATTAGTTATTTTATAAATATTGAGAAAAATGAAACAATAAATGTTATCCTATATGTAATTGACTAGTAAACTAAATAATTATAAACAAACATTACCTATATATACATATAAATACATATATATAGATATATATAATAGTATAAGCGTCCTATGATATTGATAGACTTTGTAAAATTTCAAAAAAATTAGATTTTAACAAATAAAAATATTATTATAAAAATCTAATATATAATTTTGCATATATTGGTTTCAAAAATGTTTTATTTTCTTTTTTAATAATTTTTTCATGTGTATTTATCTGTAAAAACAGGAAAAATATATAATTTTATGCATATTTGTGGCAATAAGTTTAAGTTTTTGTATATACCAATTGAAGTATATATTATATATGATGGAACTTTGTCTTGTTTTATATGTAAGTTTTCCTTACTCGAAGCGGATCTACATATATAATTTTTAGAGAAATATATAATATATTTTTAAAGATGATTGGAAAAGTTTTTAAAACTAGTTAACAATTTACTTTAATGAGAAGATTAGTTTACGAAACTTCTAAGGATTCACATGATTATTATTCAGCTGAAAATATTTTCAGTAACTCTTCTTCCACAGTATCGATGGAAGTAATGAAAAATATGTTTGCAAAAATATGAAATCAAATAAATTTCTACTGTTTACTCAAAAAAGAATTTATTTTGATCGACGTAAACCCCATATTAGCAGACAGCTTTTGGTCGAAAGTCCATCAAATACATATATCTATTGGATCCTTTATTTATAAAGTTTTTTCCAGCATATATTATATAAAGAAAATGAATGAGATTATAATGAAAAAATAAAAAATAGATGATAGAACTAAAAATAGTTCTGATCATCCTACAATACTTATTAAGATGATTCTGCTGACTGGAAGATTTTATAAGGAAAATAAATTCACCCAATTAAATTGAGTTTCTTTTGTAATTATAACAATTTGGAAATGAAATTGTTATCTAAATATATTATAATTAAAAATTTGTTCAGATATTATAAATACAATTTTATATACAATTTGTGTCTTGCTTAATAACGAAATATGTCACGCTACATTGGAATGCAACCTTCCGGGCTACAGTAGACATTGCAGACCCAGGGTAACATGAAGGCGCACTATCTTTAACACAGGCAAATCGAACTACGATACATAGTTTTAAAGAAACAGAATTTGAGATTTTCTATAAACAATCTATGTTCCTAATGGAATAACTTCTACTACTTTTTAAATCTCTGAAAAGTCTCTTTAAGATTCTAAATAAAATTCTTTCCATATAATGAAGAATACTCCATTTCATAAGCACGCACTTAACAAATAATTTAGTGCTTAATAATTTTAGTTGTTTTAAGTTGCTTGATATATCATTATCATCATTATAAATTTAAGATATATTTAGAACTTATGTGTGTTTCACAACAACCTTCCATTTTTCTCTATTTTTGGTTTCTGCTCCTTCTAGTTGTTGATACTAATCTCTCTGATTAGTATGATTCTAGTCACCCTACCTTGTCACTGGTGTTCTCCTGCCTACTTGTTGTTTTAAATTTCTTGTTTCTGTTGCTATTCGTGTTGCTATCCTTTCTTTAGGGGCACGTCTAACGTATCCTATCCACTCAAGCTACAAATATGCATAGTTCAATACTCATACGCAAAGGAGAACAAATTTGCAGTTGAAGATTTGTTTTGAAAATTTCTTTAAATATATATTTAAAATTTTTTTTAACTATTAATAAATTTTTATTAATTTTTTATTAATTATTGTTAATTTTAAAAATTTTAACATTAAATTCAAATTTAATTTTAAGTTATTAATAGTAAACAAAACTGTATAAAGAAAACTATTGTCACAACATCATTGTTGTAAATAAGAAATTCATAATTATAGTGTTGCAATAATTAAGTACTTGTATAAACAAAATAATTTTAATATATAATTATAATTTAAAATTTTTTTCAATAATATTCAAATAATGTTAATACCTAATCTATGGGCCAAAAATTAAATTGTATGTATGTGTTTTTCATATTAAATGAATTTATTATTATGACCTAATAAATGCATATAAAAGGTAAACATAAGTATTAATTATTATATATGTAAATTAAAACTAAATTTATATTTCAAATAGAAATTACTTATAAAATAAAATCAAAAGACTTTTACAAGACAAATGCTTTAGGCATAAAATGTTATTTTATTATTTAAAACGTAAATTTAGTATCAAATCTATATAATGAATGATATCATATATAAGCGAATACATGTATTTATACATATGCATAAATATATGTATACATCTGCATATATATATTTATATGTAAAGGAATATATATATATAGAAAATGTGTAACTTCAATGCAGTGAAGAAGAAATAAATAAAATAAAAATCATAGCAAAAATACTGTAATTAAAATAACTAATAACATTATTATTATCATTTTCAAAATGAATAAAGTGTGAATTTCGAAAAAAAAAGAAATAAACAATATATTTTCCTCAAAAATTTAAATAATTTTGTTTATAAATTTTATCTTTTATATTTTATGTAGAAAATGTGCACTGAAGGGAATGCAAACTGTATTTGGCGTAACTGCATTGTGTTTGGTGTTTATTTTAATTTTAAATGTAATTTTGTCTTATATGTTATTATTTTTTATTTTTTGTTAAAAAAACTTTTACAAATTATTATAAAGATATTATAAAAAATAAGTGAAAGGAAGGAAAAGACAAATTGAGACAAGACATTTTTATGTCAGCTTAACGAGAATTCGTTCGCATCGTAGACAGTTTTGAAGTAGAAAAAGATTTATTTTTTTTTCGAACTTTTGCAGTGGCATTTTTGCTCAAAAATTAAATTTAATGCACCACCAAGAAGAATATTTATGATATTTTATAAATTATAAATTATAAATAACGTAGAGCAAACACATTATATATAAAAATTATGAAAGGATATGCATTTGAGCAAGCAAAGCTAAAGAAGTAAGTATGTGACTT